GAAACATTAACTGGGGGATTTTGTTCCTTGTAACCCTCTCTTGAATATCTGCTTCATCTTTCCACCAAGTTCTAAACTGCAAATATTGACTTGGCTCCAAAATCGTAGGTCAAAAAATTTCCCAATCATGAAGAATTAATCTGTGTTCATTTGCTAACCCTTGCATTAATAGGTTGATTGCCTATCATAGGCTGTGACAGCCTGTTTTAAATTTTTAATAACCTTGAATGCCAGAGGTTGGTGTTCCCATTGTACATATGCCTGGAATTGAGCATTTGGTGGGTGTTGTTGAACCACCACAGGAAAAATACCCAAAGGGGTAGAATAAGCTTCAGGATCTCCCTGTTGTTTCCCTTGCATAAGAGCCTGAGATATTACACTTTCATAAATTTTTATGGGGGCTTCTTTTGTCTCATTTGGAGGAGCAGAAGGGTTAAAAGATGGCAGTAAGGACTGGATTTCTGTGAATTGAGAAGGAAGTACCTCAGGGATAGAGACCTCCTTTCACAGCTCATGTACCTCATTGTTAATTTCCTTTTGTTCTATATCTTCCAAATCCTCAGATTCTGAGGAGATGGTGTGCAATTGCATAACTGTCCTTTTAGGACCTGGTTTGTTAGATTCATCCCTACTATATAGCATGGAGAAATTTGAAGAACAGACACTTGAGGTATGTGGGAGAGTACCTTCACATAGGGGGTCTTTAAGGAGTGAAACCTTATGATAATTATGCACCTCAGAGGCCCCATGTTCTATTTTTGTTGCTTTTTCAATGCTAGCATCCACAATTGAAAGTGAAAATGGCCAAGGTCTTAAAAAGGCCTCATGTGCAGATTCATATTTGCATGGAGGCTGCTTTCAAGGTTTAGCAATATCAGCATCTGAAGCTGACCTTTGCAAATATTTCTTAGACTCTTCTGAGTCCGATTGCAATGGTTCCAAAGCTAATGACAGTAAACTAGAAAAGAGACCATATATGTAGACAAACTGGTTCCCATTTTGCTGAGCAGGACTCAGCACTCTCTTAACTTGTTTCCAAACTTTTAAATTTCAAGCACCCTTACCCTTAGGCTGAAATCAATTAGCAGTGCTTTTTTTTTTTTTTTTTTTTTTTTGCAGAACCAGGAATTGAACTCAGGCCCTTGCATTTGCCAGGGAAGCACTTATTCTACTAAGCCATCTCCCCAGTCCAACAATGCCTTTTTATAAGCAAAAACAATTCCTTGAAACACATTGGTTTCACCTTTACACCAGCTCCTTTGAGTAATGTCTGAAGAAGACAGACATACTTTCTACTAAAGTGGAGTTTCCCTTCCTCTGAGCTTTTCCCCCTGGTCTTGCCTATTCTGGGCAGACTTTCCCCAAGGGATCAGGCCTCTCCTAACTCACCCCTGGTCATCGTTCGTGCCCCAGGTTGCGCGCCACTTGTTGTATGTTATGAGTTGATGCTAAAGAAACGAGAAGACTCAGTGAATATAGCTTCAGAGATCTCACTAAGATTAGTCTCTCTCCAAGTGCGCCCAGAGCCACAGAAGCATCTCACATTTATTGAGGGCTAAAGGCAGGCTAAGGAATGTGCATAATTACTTTGGTGAACACAAACTACTGTCTCTATTGACTTCTGCCATTTGCCTAACATAAATTTCCACAATGCTAGCTGATAACATCCCAAGGGAGGGATTAAAGAACAAACAGGGCCCTAGAAGGAGAAGATGTTATCCACAGCCTTGAAGCCCAGCTTGCAGGGACTTACAGTGTGAGACATAACAGTTCTCCTGGGGCTCTGTGTATTGCTCCTTTCTCCCTTGAGACACTAGGTTTTTGTCTCACCTATATTTATATAATCATGGACCATACTGTAGTGAGGAACAGAAGAAATTACATGAAAGCAGTGTGTAAGAGTCAGATGTTAGTTCATTGTATGAATTACAAACATCTCAGATATTATTGGAAATGAGGACCCATCGTGAAAGAGTTTCAGTGTTTCTTATTTATGTAGAAGTAACTGTCTTTTGTCACAGTACCTTATAGATCATGGCCATGAGAGCATTTGATTCAAGGATCACATAGCAAGATTATTAGAAAAAGAATACCCAAAAACTGGGAGTCTGAATTGGCAAATGAGTTGTCTTAGTTAATACCAAGATTTTTGATCTAATGGTGACATATTGACAGTAAGCATAATAAGATAATAAGAGCTTTTTTCTTTTTCTTTCTTTTTTTTTTTTTTTTTTTTTGGTGGAACCAGGGATTGAACTCAGGAACTCAAGCTTGCCAGGCAAGCGGTTATTCTACTAAGCTATCTCCCTGGCCCCCAATAAGAGCTTTTGAAACCCAGTGGAGTAATGAAAAACTTAGCATTGTTATGTAAAACTGTATTGAAAATGTCCCATGATAAAATGTGTCACCTCTTCCCCCTTATTCTCTTCTTTTAAGACCTCTTCCATACCCTCTTTCCTTTTTGGACAATACATAAACAATCATTTACTTGGAGTACAAAAACAGAACATAGTCCAGAGTTGGCCTCCAAGCTGTAATTTACTATATCCAGACAAGACAGGGACATGAGGGTTTCAAAGGGCAAAGAGCAAAAGAGCAAGCAAATCACATCTTCATCTTCAGGACTGTGTAGAAGGAAAAATAGAGAAGGGAGTGTCTTCAGGAAGATCCTGGTTTTCAGTTCTTTGAACTTGAAGAGAATGAAAATTAAGGAATCCACTCTCCAAGTTTGCTCATACCATAATGCTATAATCAACTTAATTATAGCAGTGTTTTCTTTGAGAATTATGATTTAATTTATTTTTAAGAAAATATCTGGAAGTGACATTGTTGAATGATTGCAATGTTGGAGATTTTTCCATCTAAAGCATTGTTTGAAAATTTCATCACTGACATTCAATTTCATTAGCTAAAAAGGAAGCCTCAAAAACATTATCATACTTACCAAAAGAGTTAAATTTTTACAATGACAGTGTCATGAATTGGAAAGAATTGAATTGTTTATCTTGTCTGCTCTATGCTGTAATAAATTTAATTCTTTCACTCTCTCTGTCTCTCACTCTCTGTCTCTCTCTCTCTCTCTCTCTCTCTCTCTCTCTCTCTCTCTCTGTGTGTGTGTGTGTGTCTGTATGTGTGTTATGCCAGTGTCAGTCTACTCCTGAGGTATACATATAGCTCTTTTTATTTCTTATTTTGATATGGAATTTGACTAAGTTCCTTGGTCTATGCTTCAACTTGCAATCCTCTTGCTTCAGTTTCCTAAGAAATTGAGATTCTAGGCTTGAGTCCCTGGACTAATAATTGTGAAATATACTTATCCTACAGTGGGTACACTCTGGTCAAGATGTTTCCCTTTAGGTGTTCATGGTATTACAAGGTTGTACTATCTCTGAGGGAGGATTAAGTAAAACAACAGCAATCACCAGCTATAGAATAATTTAAGAATTTATACACAATAATAATAGCATTTCATATTTTTACTAAGTACAGAAAAAAATCATTGCAAGACCACATATACAAATTTTATATCTACTTGTTGCATTTACTGTTAACTCTCAATGTATTTACATGTTTATCCGGCAAGTATTTATCCCACGTTTATTGTTTAATAAATTATTTCTACAGCTATGTGTGGCATTGTCTGTTAATTGTTTATTGTTGTTGAGTATCGTTTTCTTTCTTAGTATAAGAAAGTGTAAGTGCCAGAAAGAGAGAGAGCTCAGCAGACTAAGCACCTACTTAATACAGGGACCGAGGTTCAACTCCCAAGAACACATGCCACACTGGCCCCACCCCAGGGTGTCCTGAGCCAGAGACTGAGTCTGGGCATGGTGGCACATGCCTCTAGTCCCAATAAGAACCTGTATCAAATATATACATAAAAAAATGTAATTTTCCTATGTGCAAAATTTCCATTTTGAGAGAGATTTCCTGATATGTTCCTAGAAGTAACAAATAAGGAATTTATTGATTTTTGAGTTACTACCATTTTCCTGATAAAATAGAAGGGCCTCCACTATAGATCTTTTGTTATTGCATCTCTATCTACATTATTTATCCAGACTGTACTAAAGATATAATGACCATGATTACAAATGTAAAACCAGACAGGGAAAAATGGTGAGCTACAGGCAAAAGATGACTTAGTACTAGTTAGCCACATGGGTGGGACTCCTCCCATCAACAGGGTGTCTGTTGATAGGTTTCTTTGTGATTCTGAAGCATTATGTACATCATGGTCAGTACAAATATTCTCCTTGGTGTTAAGCTTAATCCATTTTACCTTTCACTACACATTGCTAGGATAGGCTTGTCACAAATTAAATTTTCTGATTTTTGTTTTATTGCAGATAAGTTAATTCCACTTTTTTTTTTTTTTTTGGTGGAACCGGGATTGAACTCAGGTCCTTGTGCTTGCCAGGGAAGTGCTTATTCCACTGAGCCATCTCCCTGGCCCCAGTTCATTCCACTTCTGTATTCCTTCACTGCTAGTATTTTATAACCTGAAGACTACTTTAGACTTTACTGAGCTACAATTTCTTTACATTCCCAAAATACAAAGCAGATCATTCTCCCGGTGATCGTAAGTATCAAATAGAACTCCTGTTCCTTAGGATCTAAAAGTGCTGCGAAGGAAAACAGAATTTAGAGATGGAACGAACTGGTCTTGAAATAAGGAAACCAATTCTGGAAAGACGCGGGGCTCAGCCTCTCCAGTCACCAGGAGTGTTTTAAGTGCCGTGCACTGACTGAAACGTTAATACTACACAGATGGAGAATCATTTCTTAGCTTTCTCTTCCTGAAATTATAAATGGTTACCAGCATGCAGAAATAATTTTGTGTGACAAAAAAGATAACAAAATGTAAAATTTACAAACTACAAGGAGTATTAGCAGAAATAGCACACTTATGGTGAGAGATGTTGGGTGAAATTCCTCTGGATAATAAAAAGGCAAAATATTTGTAGCAAGAACTGTTAGACTAACGTGGAACTTCAGTACACTTTTCCAAATACACCACTTTTATTACAATTAGATTTTATGATGTTTTTGTACTTCTTCCATTTTTTAAATCTTTTAGGAATATATGTTTTGCTATAGATTTTTCTTTAGCCAATTAATATAATGATCTGTCAGTCTATGAAAAATTTTCAATTCTGGAAAGGAAGATGCTCCATGGAACCCATCCTCTACGTGGTTATGAGTCACTTGAACACCAGCGTTCCGAAGTCTGGTGACATACATGATTCCGTCATCTCTTAAGACATCATACTGACATGTGAGGACATAGGTGAGGGGTAAACCATGCAGCTTGCTGTCGTCTGCCAACAGAGGCGCTGCCCTCACATCTAGGAACCCAGGATATTTTTGAGACAACTCAGGACTACCATAAATTGGGTTGTTATAAACATGTCCTTTTCTAAACCTTTCAGGGAGCAAGGAGCTCCAGTTAACAAATTTGAAGAGATGACTGTATTCTTCAGGTACGTGTCGGTTGGAAAGCATGGCCTTCTCCAGCATCCTGTCTGTGGTAAAGTATTCACTCCAGAACCTGACCATGAGTGCCTTAGACAGAATCGGCATTTGTGCATTTTCACGATGTGATGGGGAATCTAAGTCAAGAGGCTGAAGTGCAGGGTAAATTAAAGCTTGGATCTTCGCTTTGGTCTTGACTTCTGGGTCACCTAGAAGCTAAAGAGAAAATATGATTTGCACAATATATTACCCTTGCAAATGATAAAACAACTACCAATAATATAGTCTATATATAAATTCATCACCTCAGAAGACATTGAAGAAATACTATACATCACCCATTTTGACAAACTCTGAAGCATCTAAAGGGTATTATAGAACTAGATGCTCCTGAAGTACACGTTTGACTTAAGAAAAATTCTGTGCCATGAGGATAATGTAAGAGGACCTAAGTAACAAGTAGTAAGCACACATTGCAACATTTCAGCTTAAAATGATGTAAAGAAGCAATGACATACACATGTGTAAATTTAATGTCATCATTGCTTTTACACTGGTATAAAAGTATGCTGAAACAGACCATAATAAGTTTTCCCATGAAGAAAAACAATCCTTGAGGTATTTCTGACTTCACTCTGATCCTGAAGTAACATGCTCTTGTGCAAGATTTGACAAAGCTTTTCTTGTGAGATATTCCATGCAGTGATTATCCAATACCAGGGTCAATATGTGAATATTTGAAAAGGTCAGTGGTCAGAAAAGTATAATATGTGAATATCAGAGTTGAACCAAAGTAATTCATAAAAATATTTCTTCATAACTTTTGAATGTTCAGAATATATTCTTTAATATGTGGTTTTATGTTTTCTAAATGTGTATTATAATAAAAAGGTATTATGTATAATTTCTTTATAAAACTACAGGTTCTGAATATACCTCAAAATTTTGTAATTTTGGGGATCTGTCTACTTCTTAATTACAATTTTCACAATAGATTATTTTTAATTTTTTTAAAAACACATAATGATCATATCATGTTACCATGTTTTTAATGTAAATACATAAAAGCAGCCCTCAAACAACTCTGCCAGTTTAAAAGGTTTATTTTTCCCAACAGAGGAGGAAGTGGATACTTAGAGAATGCTTAGAGAGAATAAGGGTGCTGAGCAAGAAGACACTTAAAAATCAAGACCAAGACAACTCATGACTCCCATTTCTAATCTTTCTTGAAATAATATAGGAGTTTTGAATATGCTGATAATGTTTTCAAAATAGCCAGCTTACTTTGGTAAGGGAAGACTACTCCATGAATGATTATTGAACACACTTGAATTTTCCAAAATGGTTCAAAGTAATTTTCTCTTCTCATTCACCTGACGGGTGTACTTTGCTAACACATATCAAAGTTCAACTCCATCATCTCCTCAGACTATGGTTATTTCTGGTAGCCTAAACAACTAACTTGAAGCTAACATCATGCGATACAGCAGCTATTGTTGAATTTCTATAACTTTCATGAAATGTTGTATCATTTCTAATGCTTTTTTATACTATTTTTTATTTTATATATTTTAAGAAAACTATTAAGAGAAAAGAAAAAGAAAGTGAAAGCAACCTTGACCAGGGCAGGAATCGCCACCTTGGCATAGCTTCCAGCTTTAGTAATATTCTCTTCACTATTATACACATTGCTGCTTTTATATTGGCATGTATGTATTTATCTGCTTATAGGTAGACAATTCTGAAAAACAGAGGTGAGGGGCGTCCTACCTGCTGAGTCACTGCTGCAGCTAAATTCCCTCCTGCACTGTCTCCAGAAACGCAGATTCTCTCAGGGTTTACGCCATAACTTTCAAGAACAGTTTTGCGTAAGAACCACCTTAACGCATTATATACATCTTCAAATTGGACTGGGAAGTGATATTTAGGTGCTAATCTGTAGCTGTGGAGAGAAGACATGATTTTTTGTCATTTCTTTTAAAGGCTAATTAAACAGATCTTGCCGATATGCACATGTAATAAGTGTCCAACATGGTGAACTAGAAACAAACACAACCACAAACCATGCAAACGACCCGTGCCTGCCAGAGAAGTGTTCAGATGTTCTTCAGCTCTTGAAGTATCCTCTAACCTAATTTAGTGGCATCAATTTGTTTTATATATTTTGCCCTTGAAATAAGTAAATGGCATATGCACCTGGGCCCTTGGGTTTGGTTTCATCACCAGATTTGAGCCTTGTGCACACTGCCGTGCACTTCCTCTGTCTTCCTGTATAATATACTCCACTGCTGGAATGCACCATGAATCACTTATCCAAAACATGAATGTAGGGGCCGGGAAGATGACTCAGAGGAATAAGTGCTTCCCTGGCAAGTGCAAGGGCCTGAGTTCAATCCCTGGTTCAGCCAAAATGACAACAAAACATGAATGCAAAAAAACACAAGAATAAGAAGAAAAAAAAATGTCACAGGTTTGTCCTGTTAAAATTCTGTGTATGGTTAGGTTTCTAAATTTCTTTGTAAAAATACATAAATGCTTATTTCTTCTCTTATAAAATTGTTTTTCCTTCATATTCTATAAGAACTTAAAGTTCAGCATATCAATATTTGATGGAAAAGACCTGTTCCATGTTATACCAAAAACGTTTGATATTTCTACAGATAGGGTAAACCGAACTGCGTATATTGCAGGTTAATAATTAACTTCTCTTTTGGAGAGTTAACAACCTAAGTCATTAGTTCAAAATTGGAGAAAAGGAAGAGCTGCAAGGTCAGCCAACATTTTGTCCCTAGCCTTTCAAGGTCAGTGAAGACTTGAGGCATAGGAGAACCTGTACTGTAATAACATGTAACTCAGTTGTGCTCCAAATTTTCTGATCAAGAAAATTATAGCGCCACAGAGGAATGTGATCGATGATGTGTAGTGTGCCTGGGGAGAGTCACATGGAGAGAAAAAACATTTTCTCAGGCTTTCACGGAGAACAAGTTGGTCAAGCAATGGCCATGACTCATCCTCATGGCTAACAGTGACAAAGGATCTACAAAGTGCAGTACAGGGCTACAGGATAAATCCTGAGAGTACTTGACTGACCTTATCAAATACAAAAGTTACATTTCTTATTATACAGGTCTTGCTTTTTCTTGGTCTTAACCATCCAGCAGAAAAGTATAAAAGCGAGGTATATAAAGTAAAGCCATATTAATACAATGAGCTGTAAAAGGCTCAAATCAATAATTTCTGAGGAAAACCCACTAATATTATAGACTGCTATACAGTGTTAGATTGTTTAGCTGAATTCAAACACATATAGTATTTAGATGCCAATAGAATATCCACCTCTGGCATGACAATTAAAAAAATTTAAAAAGGATACAAAGGAAAGATCATTTTGTGTTTATACACACAAAATAGGATAAATATATAGCTATTTTTGCTTAATGCAATGATAAGAAAGAGGTGTACTAATAGTGTTTGGACAGGATATCTTGTCTGCTTCTTGTGCTATGGATAACCACTAAGAATATAACAATGTACATTGTATTGATTATCGAAACTGTCCTATTAATCAGCTACAAAACTATCTCATTCATATTTATTTCTCAAAAAAATACACACATAAAACATTAATGTATTAGTTACTCTTCTCTCATTGCTGGGACAAATACCTGAAAATCAAAATGAGGGAAGGAAAGGCTTATTTAGCTCACAATTACTGGAGGTTTCAAGACACCAGAGGAGAGGCTGGGCACTACCATGTCCAGGATGATCCCTTCTACTCCTCTCAGAATGCACAGGCTAGGCGGTTTAAGCATTCATGCCTCTCTTGCCCCACCCCTAGGCCCTGTCTCTGCCCCCCTCAAGCCACTCATTGCTCTTCCAGCCACCTCTGCCCCATAACGTAGATGAAGCTTTGGGGGAACAAGTAGACACAAACCATAACATTCTGCCCCTAAACTGATAAAAAAAAAAAAAACCTGGCTATAAAGACCAGGCTAGGGAGGTTTCTGCTGGGAAGAAGGACTGCTTTGGTTGTTGGACTCCAGATTATTTGTGTTTTGGTTTGGCAGAATATTTGTCTGAATTTTGCCTGTGTCCAGACACTTTGCCTGAGATTGAACATGGAGGACTGATTAATCTTTCAAAGGAAATCCCAAATCAGTGAAATATTGAGACCGTGGCATGGCTGTTGTTGGGGAATTCAGTCAGAATTATGTTGAGCATCCAGTGAAAAGAGCCACGCAGGATGATATCAAATGTTTTGAGTCAGGTCGGAAAGGAAGCTCCAATAAAGCTGTGGAATGAAAAGACAGAGCTGAGCAGATCTCCATTGCCAAGAAGGAATAAGAGGATGGAAAGGATTGCCTGAGAGCATCGCAGGAGGTGGCAGGATCTCGACCTTTGCAGCCTTAGAACCCCAAGTGTAAGAGACTTTTCTCTGAGAAGAAAGCCACAGAGCCCCATGTTCCAGAATGGAGGTGGTGGCCACACCAGGTTCCAGAAGGAAGAGGCAGCCACTCCAGATTGCAGAATGGTACTGGCAGAAAATTTGTGTCTCAGAATCAGGATCAGGGTACACAGTGATCCAAGCACTTGACCCCTACACCCAAGAGGAAGGAAAGCCTGGCTATTGCTCCCACTGGCAGCAGGTCTTGGCATCATCTATGTGGTATTGGTTTTAGGTGCTTGCAGAATGCAGGTGTTCTAAGGTTCAGAAGGCTTCCACCCCAATTTCAGAAGAAGGTCTGGGAGGCCAGGAAGTGCCCCTGACAGGGTAGTGTGTAGAGGGAGTAAAGCTGGTCTAAGAGAGAAGCCATGGGAGCTACCACCACCAGAAGAGCCAGAGGGGCGGAGCCACATGGAGCTCATGATTTCTCCCAGATTACTTTGGATGTTCCACATGGAGCTGTAGGACTCAATGTTTGCCCAGCTGGATTTTGGACTTGTATTGGCCCCAATGGCTTGTATCCTCCTGTGTATACATTTTGGAATGGCAATGTTTATCTTGTGCTTTGAATCTTGGATGTATTTAACTTTTTATTTATACAGAGGCTCACAGTTGAGAGTTTGCCTTGGACCTTGGAGGAGAATTGGGATTGGACTTTTCAGCAATGCTGAAACTGTAGGACTTTGGCAACTGTTAGAGATGGACTAAAATGCCTTTTGGACAAAGAGATGTGAGTGAGACTTTGGGGGCCCAGGGGCTAAATGTTATGGATTTAGTCTGGTTGTCCCCGCAAATACTCATGTAAGTTATGGGACAGATGCTGCTGGAGGACCAATGAGTGGCTTGAGGGGTGGGGCCAGAGGACTGGGTGGGTCCTGAGGTGTGGGGCCATTGAGGTGTGAACCCTTAGACTGTCTAGCCTGTGCTTTCTTAGATATGTGAAGAGAGTCATCCTGGAAATGGCAGCCTCTCCTACACTGTGTTGAAATCTCTAGCTACTGTGAGATAAACTTTCCTTTCCTCATTTTGAGTGTCAGGTATTTGTCCTAGCAATGAGAGAAGAGTATCTAACACAATAAGTAATTGCATTTACATGAGTTACCTAAAATGCTTAAATTCATAGAACCAAAAAGTAAAACATTGATTTCTAACGGCTGCTGAGAGGGATAAATAGGGAATTAGTAATTAATGGATTCAATCAGGTAAAATGAATATTCTCTACAGATCTGCTTTAAAATATGATAAAGTCAACAATAATGTGTTTGCACTTAAAAATTGGTTTAGAAAGTAAATTTTATGTGTTCTTAGTACAATAAATATATAAATGATAATTAAGTAACTACTGCATTCCAACTTTAAAAAGCCATGCGATTTGGGCTGCTTTCAATCTTGGCTTTCCAAATATATTGCTGGGGATATTCTTGCATCTGTTGTTTGGTGAGCATCTACATTCCTGTAGATAGTAGACTGTGATGTTGATATGTACAGTATTAAAATATGCAAGCACTTTTAGATAGTAGTGTCAAATAGTTTTTCTTTTACTGGTAGTTTATAAAATTCCTTTGGTGTTCATTCTTGGCAATCTTTGGTATTTTAGCCCTTTTTGATCTTATGCACAATATCAGGTACAGAGGTATTATACAGTGCATTTTATTTATATTTTCTGTATACTAAATGTTCACATATTTATTGACAATTTGGGTATTCTGTTCTATTTTTTATTTTTATTTATTTATTTTTTTTTTGGCGGAACCAGGGATTGAACTCAGGCCCTTACACTTGCCAGACAAGCGCTTATTCTAAGCCATCGCACCGGCCCGGGTATTCTGTTCTATAAAGTTTTTCTCTTCTACTTCTAATAATGTGTAGTGGCTTGTATGCTTTGAATATGAAAAAAATTTGCATTTTAGTACTTTTATATTTATTCAAATATAAAAACACAGACATTTCAAGACAAATTTTTCTAATTAACATTGAGCCGTTATTTTAATACAAGTTTAATATACTTTATTGAGGTATTATTTATGTACCAGAACATTTATCAGAGGTATATAATTCAAGACTTTTTCATATATTTAATAGTTTTCAGTGAACATGTAAATCCATTTGAGAACATTCCAACACTTAAAAAAGAACAAATAACTAAAATAACAGCCCTGTACCCTTGGCAGACATTTCTCACTTTCTGCTTCATCAGTTACCATCCTCATTCCTCCCTTACAGCTGCTGTGGGTTTTTCTGTCCAATAACTTTCATACAAATGGCCCCACACACAGTGCTGCCCTTTGAGACCAGCTTCCTCCACAGGACACGACACTTCCCAGACTTGTCCTTGTGTTAGTGGTAATATTTCTTTTTAATAACAAGTAACACAGAACCATTCAATGTGTGGCATGATTCTACTATAACGCCAAGTTTACTAGCTCTCAGTGTTCCTTTCAAACATAGATTACTAATATAATACATTATTTTCCATTAACTCATTGACTTTTTGTAAAAAAAAAAATGTATTTGGTACAGGATCTTACTATGCAGTTCGGACTCAGTGATCTTCCTGTTTCAGCCTCCCCAGCACAGTTATCACAGGCATGCGCCACCACACCTGGGCTCATTAGCTGGCTCAGTATGCCAGGGGGTGGAGCCAGCATGACATGCGGTACTGGGGATTGAGCCCAGGTTCCTGTGCTTACTAAGCAGGTGCTTAGTCTGCTGAGCTATCTAGCTGGCCCTTTACTCCCTTTGTTCAATATGAGATGAAAATTTAATGTTTTAAACCAAGTGCTAGACACTAAGATAAGCCAGTTTCAAGAATATTACCGCTTAGTTTTTTTCAAAGTGACTAACAAATGTCACAAAGATGTACTATGTGCTTTTATAGATAATCTTTCTGACTCCAGAAACCTTAACCTTAAGGAGTATAAATGAAGGATAATTAAATCCAAGTAGGTATGTACCATGATGACAGAATTTAAACTTATGTAAGAAGAATTATCTTTACTGTCCCATTTTCCTAGCTGCTCAAATAAAACACATCAACCTGCACAAATGCACACACACACACACACACACACACACACACACACACATTTTCTTTATCACAGTGCTACCCAGGGTATAACTAACTGAACTCGTCTTGTCTTTCAATTTCCTCGGTTCTAATTATGAAATATTTGTTCTCGGGCAAATCAGCATTGCACACAGCCATGAGATATTCAAGACACTGGAAGGAATTTTGGTAGTTAAGGTGTTTGGACCCAAAGTAAAACAACACAGGCCTTACTTGACTGACACGACCACAGCATCAAGCCTCTCTGCCGTCCATCTTGAGAGCAGGTCATAATTACCTAAAGCTCAAATAAAAGAATTAAAGGCAAAAGTCAGAATCCGCAAAGGAAAGGAAGGAATTTTTTTTTTTTAAACAAAAGCAGATTGTGCTAGTTTCAGGCTCTGACAATTATCTTCCTGTTATAGATACAAATAGCAGAAATAAAAATGTAATGCTGAAATAAAAATGTTATCCTCAGAAAGCCTTCACCTTGAACTTGGTGGGATTTCTCCCTGGACTTTCTAATTGCTCTTCTTTCCTTACATTTCTTTTTCTGCACATTTTGTTACTTGTCCTTGGCCAGCAGCATTCCTGGAAGACTGAGCCTAGCTTCCAACTGGTACATGATATCGATTTGTGTGTTTTACATGTTGTGTTCACACATTTGGAAAAGAAAAGTCACTGACTTGATGCAAGTGTTGGTGTGCATCTGACGCAAGTGTTACAAACACACTTTGGATAATGGAGAACAGTCATCAGTGCCTATACGGGCATACACAAACACACACACACACACACAATCACCTGGAAATAAGTTGAATAAAAGATGCTTCTTTAAAACATGAGAATTCTCATTTTTTGGCTGTATGTGCCCTGCTGAGGTATGGTTCACTTCTCTTTATTCTTGTCTAGAAAAAAGACAGACTGTAGGCAGTTTTGTTCAGCGTTTCCCTGCATCTACATTTATTTATTTGGACGATTGTAAATTAAAATCGTCCAAATCTTTCTCCTCACCTCCATTTCCTCCATATTGTTAGTTCATCCTCTGTGCACCATGCAACTTTCTTAATTCCTTCCACCTTATTTTGTTGTACTGATGATTGAATCCAGCCTTTGTACTCAATACAACCAAGTTTTTGTTAAACTATTTTATTTTGGACAAAGGCTCACTGAGGTGCTCAGCTGTCCACTCTGGGCTCAAGCTTACACTCCTGCCACATCCCCAGGGGTCCTCACCTTTTATATCTCTTTTACATAAATATCAAGCAAATTCTCTTGCTTAATGCTCATTTTAGTCTATCATTTTCTTACTTATACCTTTTACAAATAAGTGTTTAAGTTCAAAAGTCACTCTTCTAGACTCTTTATCTTACTTTCTGCTGGTTAGAATGCCATCAGATTTGTTCACAGCTTGATGACCATAAAATATTCGACTGCCTAGATGGGCACCTCTGTCCCATTTATTCAGCATCTTTTCACCATTCAATACTTCTCACTAACCTCTCTTTTGGACACTCTCACCTTGGGCTTTCTTTTCATTTTATGATCTTTGTTCATTTGAACACTTTTTAATGCTTTGCTCATTGTGTATTCTTCTACCCAAAATTTACTTGTGTGTATTTTCCAGAATCCATCCTCACTCTCCTTGTCATCCTGTCAGAAATAGGATAATCATTTCATCTGTCTCTCTTTGTCCTTTGTTTCCTTTGTTCTCTGAATTTCTTATATTATTTGCCACATTTCAATTAATTTTAATCCTGGAACATTTCTTCTCTGCACTCTGCTTCCCCTCTGCCCTTCCCTCAATTTTTTTTTTATATTTCACAATTGAAGGTAAATTGGTGAATATCAAGCTTGCACTTGCAACTTTGCAGCTAGAATCTGCAAGTACACTCTGAAAGTCTACTCTATAACTAGAACCAATGAAGTAACAATTCCTGGTTATATGACTGAACCAAAAGTCTTTGTACCAAATTTTTACTTCTGGATGTACTCTTCTTTTGAAAACAGTTCTGTATATGTAAGGACTAGCAATGTTTGCACCAAATCTTGATTATTTTAACCTATTATTGTCCATATTTGTCATATTATGCCACATTGTATTATTTAGGTATGTACCCATTGTTTAGAGATTGTCTTAATTAGAATTTAAGGCCCAAGGGGAAACCAAATGCAGATGACTGAGATAGTGTTTATACTTTCTTAAAGTAATTCAATAATAGGAGGACTTGTGTTTTTTTAGCATTACCTGGATTATTGAAGAAAGCATATATGGGTGAGAAATGGTGATATGAATGCTCAAGGAACAATAAAACCTGCCAGAGATCAAAGCTAGACAGGACAAAACATTGCAGTGAACCTTGCTCAGGAGCACAGTATGCAGCTTTAGTAAACCTTTGGCTGACTACTCCAGGGTCAGATGTCATTCCGAGAATTTACCTACCAGCACTTCCAACACACCAGCCCCCACCATGGATGTAAAACACAGCCCTTCTCTGTGCATCCAGCTTCCTCTTGGGCACATACACACGGACAGGAACATTGTCAAATTTGGTCTCAGTCACAGTGACATTTTCATCTGAAGTTGGTGGGACTTCAACAAAAGCCATAATTAGTGCGAATGAATCCATAACATGGTACAGTCCCAGGAACTCTACAAATGAAGCCTAAAAACAAAATTAACAAATGGCCTTAGAATTCAAATTCTGAATTCAAAGACATTTATGACAGTATAAGTATATACTTAACTAGTTCAAATGAAATAAAAAAAATTCTTATATGCCGATCCTCTTGATCCTTTGAGAAAAAAGGAAAAGTATGTTCTTATGCCTACAGAAGTTGTTAGAAACAGGAAAAGCCATTGTTGTGTCCGATTCCACAAAATGTTTCAGATTCTTTGCTCAGCTTTTAGGTTGCACATATGACAAGATAAACATACTTTCCAAGAACTTCATAGTTATGGGTGAAAGACAGGTTACTATACTGTAACAAAAATGAATTAAACGCTGTGATAGAGAGCTCTGAACCAGAGTTTTTGTCCCAGGTCATTTTACTTTGACCCTTGAGGAAAAGCTCTTAAGAATGTAATCAAATAAGAAAAAGAAAAGGAAAATCAATGCTAGGCAGATCTACTAGTATATCCTGGAGACGAGGGGCCCTTGTTGATGGTGGGAGGAACCATTTTAAATTTCATGTAGTAGTGAAGAGGACTGGGTGATGGCAGAAGAATGGAGAACCTCGCTGGGAAAGGGAAGTAAAATTAAGATGTGATATATACATGCATCAGTTCCTCAAATAGAATATAATACTGATTATATTTAGTGAATATTCAGTAATAAAAATTACAAAAATAAAATACTTTATAAATAGTACTGATGCCTTTGGAAAGACATGATTTTTTTTTTTTTTTTTTTGTGGAACCAGAGATTAAACTCAATCCCTTGCACTTGTCAGGCAAGTGTTTACTCTACTTAGCCATCTCCCCAGCCCCTGGAGACACATAAATGAGAATGAAAAACTGGCTGAGAAAAAGAAAGGGCAGCCTGCTCTCCTGCACCTTTGTGTATCTGCCTTGGAACAAGATTATGGTACAGAGAGTTTATGAGAATTCGCTTCAGGAATGCTCTCCTAACTGCCTATAAACATCAAATAGCATCACACCCATTTGAAAGAAGAAAATAAATCCAGAATAATTCAAAACTAAAATTGGTCCAAACATACACAGCTAGGAAATGATATTTTAAGTCATTTAGCATAAATATGGAGCTAAATTATTAATTCATAGCATTATTACAAAGTGTAACAATGCTTCATTCACAGTATAATTTTTTTTCTTTTCTTTCTTTCTTTCTTTTTTCTTCTTTTTTTTTGAAAATCGGAGATTGAACGCAGGCCCCTGTGCTAGCCAGGCAAGTGCTCATTCTGCTGAGCTATGTGCCCACCCCTACACGAATGTAAATGTAGCTCATCATATAAGTCTTCAGTAAAACATCTCACTAGATTCTCAGTGATTGAGAGAAGGTGTACAGGTCAGATGAAATCTTAGATAAATTAAGGAAATTGCAGCATAAAACAGAAATCATTTGAGAGTGGAAAAACTATATTAAAATACATTTTAAAATGTATGTCATTCATGCACTTTGACAATATATTCATAATCATCAATAAAAGTGAAATAATAATGCTGACAAGATTACCAGAGGGGAGCACAGCTCAAAAATGACACGACTGGGCTGGTGAGATGGCTCAGTGGTCTAAAGCACCTACTTAGAACAAGTTTAGCTAAAGCACAGGGACCGCGGTTCAATCCCCCAACACCACATGCCAGCCAGCCCCGCCCCCTGGTGGGCTGAGCTGGCCACACACACATAAATAAATAAATAAAATAAAATAAAATAAAATTTAAAAAATGACACGACTGATAAAATGAACAATAAAATGTTATTAATGGTAAATCTCAACAAAAAACTTAAAGAATTCTCCCTAAATATAGTGACATTTGAGTAAATATGAGAAAAATAAACCTTTTTTGTTTGTACATAGAATTGAACTTATGACGTTGCACCTGCCAGGCAGGCGCTTGTGTTGCTGAGTTAGAACTCCAGCTGAAAACAGGGAAACTACTTCTTGCCTCTTTCATAGAGTAATATCACACATAGAATAAAATTAAAAATTACTACCACTGGTCATAAGTGCTCTATTCTGTGACACTTTACTCCTCTTAGTTAAATTGTAGCGTGATCACATCAGTCATAAAAGCTTATTTAATATAATTTCTTCAACTTGTCAATATCTGTTAGTTAATAATTATGTACTTGTTGCTGTGCCTGCTAAAAAATATTTCCTTAATACTGAGAGTAGTTCTTTTATTTATTGTTTATTGGAACAATTTAGACATATACAGTGATCACATTCATCACAGGGAATTTGTATCCGTACATGATATACATGAATTTCTCTATTTTTCCCCAGTCCCTTCCCCTCCCTTCAATTCCTCTTGCCCTCCTATTTGCAAAACTGGCTTTCCAGCTTAGCCTTCCCTTCTTAGTGGTTTTCCTTTTTTTCCTTAACCCCTCCCCTTTCTCTAGCTCCCCTTTTTTTGTGAACCATTTCTTCCTATTTCCCAATACCTACTGTGAACTTGGTTATTTATACTTTTAGTGCCTCAAACCATAAAGACAATTCAATATTTAAAGATCTGTTTCTGATTTATTTCACTTAAGAGGATGGTCTCAAGGTACATCCATTTAGTAATAACTGTCTGAAGTTTATCCTTCTTTATGGCCAAGTAGTACACCGTTATTTAAAAATATCATATCTTTTTAATCCATTCATTGGTTGATGGGTATGTCTGTTGATTCCAAGATGTACCTCCTACAAACTGTGCCATTACAAACACGGTTGCACATATGTCACTGTGGTGTGATGCTTTAAATTCTGTTGGAAAGATACCAAGAAGAAGACAACTACATCAAATGAGACCTTTAATCCTCAGTTTCTGAAGAATGTCCACGATGAGTTCCACGGTGGTGGCACCAGGCTACACTCCCAGCCACAGTGGAGAGGTGCTCCCTTTTCCTCACATCCTGCTCAGCATTTGTTATTGGCTGGCTCCTTGATGTAAGCTGTTCTTTCTGGAGTGAGATAGAATCTCAGAGCTGTTTTAATTTGCATGTCTTGGATGATGAGTGATGCTGAACGGTTTTTTTTTTTTTTTCATGTATTTTTTTGCCATTTATACTTCTTCCTCTCACAAGTGTATATTCCTTCCAGGTGCCCATTTTTTGATTGGGTTTTTTAATTCAGGGGATCAGATTTCTTTCAGTTCTTCATATATTCTAGATATGAGCTCTTTTTCTGAGGAGTAATGGGCTAATTTTTTTCCCACTTTGTGGGCTGTCTACTGCTTATTTCTCTTGTAGTGCGAAAACTCCTCAATAAGGGACAAGTTTTTTATTCTTTGTAGTATTTCCCATGTAAGCTGTGTTTTGTAGAAGTCTGCCTATACCCATGTCCTCAAAACCACTATCCATATTGTGGAAGATGTTGTTCCCTAATTTATCCCTTGAATTTGTTATTTATGTACAAGAATCTTACTGATTTTTAATTACTGACCTTGTAGCCAGCTACAGGACTGAATTTCTTTATTAAATCTAGAAGTCTTTTGAGGGAGCTTTAATTTCCTTCTATATAGAGTATCCTGTCATTTGTACATAACAATAATTTAACTTCTTACTTTCCTATGTGTATTTCTTTTTGTTGTCCAATCAATTTAGTCAACATTTCCAGAACTGTATTTAATAGGAGTAATTGTAGTGAATATCCTTGGCTAGTTACTCATTTTACAGTAGAACCTTTCAATGTTTGACCATTTAGTATCACTTGGGCTGTTGGTTTTTCATTGATGGCTTGTATCATATTGAGGTTAAGACTATTTCAATTGTCTGTGGATTTTTATCTCGAGTGGGTGTTGGACTTGTGAAATATTTTCTCCATCTATTTAGCTACCCATGTGAATTTTGACTTTGGCTTTGTTGATAGGGTGCGTTACATTTATTGATTTGCATCTGTTGACTCATCTCTGCTTTTCTGGTATATAGCTCATTTGGCCGTACTGTATAATCTTCTTGAAGACTTGATACATTCTGTTTACTAGTATCTTATTGAGGATTCTTGCGTCTATGTTTATTAGCAAGGTCAGCAATAGTTCTCTTTTTTGTTTGGTTCCTTCCCTGGTTTTGTTATCTGAGTGATACTTGCCTCCAGGAATGAGTTGAGAAGTACTGCCTTCCTTTTCAATTTCATTAGACTTTGAGAAGCATTAAAGCTTCTCTAAATTTTTTTTTTAGAATTCAGAAATGAATCCCTCTTGAAATGGGGCTTTTGTATTCACAAGCTTTTAAGGACATTTTCAATTTCATCAACTGATACTGACTTATTTAGAATTTTTATCTTCTTGATTCAACTTTGGCAATTCATATGTATCTAGGAATTTGTCCATTTCTTCTGTATTTTTCATCTTATTACAGGTTCTTGAAGTAGATATTTATGATCTTCTAAATTTGCACAGGATCTATCTATAGTGATTTCATTCTTTTTATTCCTAATTGCATTAATTTATATATTTCGTTCCCTTTTCTATGAGGTTGGTTAAAACTTTATTAATTTTATATAATCTTTTCAATAACCAACTCTTCAATTAATTGCTCTTTGTATTATTCTTACCCTAAACTGCATTAATCTCTGCTCTGATCTGTATAAATTCCTCTCTCCTACAGTCTTTGGGCTTGACTTGTGCATATTTTCTCTAAAAGCTAGCATTGCAAAACTAGGTTTTCATTTCAGCTTGTTGTTTCCCTTATAAGAGAATTCAGAATTATAAATTTCCTGTATTAATTATAGGACTGGTCTCATCATGTCCCTTAAGTTCTGGTATGCTGTTTTCACATTATCATTTCACTACAGATAGCATTTAATATCTACTTTAATTTATTGAACTTCATCTGTGACCCATTGGACAATCAGTGGGAGGTTTTGTAGATACATAGATAGATAGATAGATAGATAGATAGATAGATAGATAGATAGATAGATAGAATAAAAATAGTGAAAACTAAACTTAGACATGATACAGAATTTCACTAAACATAATAAGAGAAATTCAACA